TCCATTCATTTGTTGATGGGCACTTAGATTGTTTCCAACTCTTTGCTACTGTGAACAAAGCCACAATAAACATGGGTGTGCATATATATCTGCTTGGGTGGCGGTTATGGTTTCTTTGGGGCATATTCCAAGTAGTGGAATTGCTGGGTCAAATGGTATCTTTTTATACAACTTTTTGAGAAAGAGCCATACAGCTTTCCATAGTGGCTGTTCCTGTATAGATTTATAGCCTCGGAAACTCAATCAAGGCTCACCAGTGGGCTAGTGGGTTGGCAGTTTGATCCCATACAGATCAAAGACATGGTAAAACCCATGTGAAATTGTGTATCACAAGTTAACTGAGGACAAATAAGCTCATGTCCACCCTGCTTACCAGGTAATCTGCCCCCAGCCATCAGGCTAGGACTCTAAACCATCCAATCAGGGCGCTTTTCGGAACCATGAGGTGGTCAGACCTGAGAAGCCAAAGCAAAAGCTCCTTTGGGTTATAGATATATCCACCATGTGACTTGTGTTACCGATGTATTCACCATGTGACTTCTGCTGGTGCCACTCTTTACAGCTTACTGACATCGATTACACTAACTGGTTATTCAGTCCTGCTCTTGTTCAATACCATTTTTCCATCACTAAAAACAGAGTTGGTAACTTCAAAGCTGTAACTCCCACTGTACATTATTTTGTTGTTGTTGTGTGTTATCAAGTCAAAACAAACTCAGAGCTGACCCCCACTCCCCTGGGTTTTCCGAGGCAATAAATTACACGAACAACCGATCTGAACTCTGTCCTTTCCCGCGACATCCTTACAATTTCAGACACGCTCAAGTCCATTGCAGCAGACACTGTGTCAATCCGCCTGCTTGAGGATCTTCCGCTTTCGCCATCCCTCCACTTTTCCAAGCACAATGTCTCTCTCAGAGGAATACCCTCCTCGAGCAACATGCCCAAAGTGTCTGACACGAAGCCTTATCCTCTTTGCCTCCACGGAGCACTCTGGCTGCACTCTCTCCATGTGAGACTTTCCTAAGTGCTGCCAAGTCAGCTCCCACTCACGGTGACTCTTACTGGAAGAGAAGAAAACATTGCCCTGCCCTGCGCTTTCATTGCTGTTGCAGCCCCCACATCAAACCATCTCGTGAAGGGGTTTCTGTAAAGCAGGATGTCCTTGCCCAGGGACTAGACCCTTTTCCTAAAATGCCCAGAATCCATGAAATGCAGTCTCCCCACCCTCGCGTTTCAGAAGCATACTGTGGCTGCACTTGGTCCAGGAAAGACTGTCTAGGCTTCTTGTTGGGGTCAGAATAACTGCGTAAGTCAAGCTGGAAGGAGGCTGGGTAGACGGTGTTGAGGCAGAGTCCAGGGATATAAGGAAAGCCTGGGGAATCATTATCTAAGAGAAAGCCGAGCTCAAATGAGGTCACTAAGACCAAGCCGTATCCAACCAGCACCAGGGAACCAATACAATGGACCCAAGTGCTCACCGTCCTCAAAGTAACATCTTTGCCTTTAAGATTTTTCAAAGAGGGCTTGTCAATAGTTTCCCAAAGTGATCTATCACTTGATTTCTTGATTGTTGCCTCTTTGAACACTGATTTTTAGACCCAGGTAAGATGAAAACTTTGATAACGTCAATCTTCTCTCTGCTTATCCTGATGTCTCTCTGCTTCTTGAGCCATCATCTAAAGGGGTGCCAGTGGTACAATGGTTAAGGACTCGGCTGGTAATTGAGAGGCCAGTTGTTGTTAGGTGCAGTAGAGCTGAGTTCAGCTCACAGTGACCCTATGAACAATAGACCTGAACTCCGTCCTATCCTGCGCCGTCCTCATCTTCCCTGACACACGTGAACCCACTGCTGCAGTCACCATCTCAGTTCTCTTCTTCTGGGGTCTTCCTTTCTTCCGCTGACTCTCCACCTTTCCAAGCAATAGATTCTCCTAACACCATGCACAACATATGCGATCCAAAGCCTCACCATCCTTCCCTCCACAGAGCACTCTGGCTGTACTTTCTCTAAGATATTATATCTGTTTGGGTTTTTCTTTCTTGCCACTCCCTCCCCAAATCTATAGAAGAGTCTGTGCTCTTCTTCAACACCAGAATTCAAAGTCATCAATTCTTTGTCATCCTTATTCCTTGTCCAGCTTTCAGATGCATAGCAAGTGATTAAAAAGACCATGGCCTGAATCGGGGCACCTTAGTCTTCAAACTGACATCATTTGCTTTTCAGTATTTTGGAGAGGTCCCTGACCACAGACTTGCCCAAAGCAATGTGCTTCCTGATCGCTGGTACCGAGAGTGTTGATTATGGATCCAAGTAAGATGAAATGACTTGCAGTTTCAATCCTTTCTCCATCTAGAATGATGTTACCTATTAACCCTGTGGTAGGGACCTTTGTTTTCTTCACATTGAGATTTACTTCATATTGAAGGTTGTAGTCTTTGATCTTCTACAGCAATCATTTCAGGTCCTCCTCACTTTGTCATCTATATAATACAGGTTGTTAATGGGTCTTCCTCTGATTCATAGAGTCCAGCTTCATGAATTACTTGCTCAGTATACAAACTCAATTCAGGCTTGAATTAAAGCTTGAATATGGATTGAGGCTCAATATTAAGAAGACAAAGATTCTCACCACTGGACCAATTGGAAGCATCAGGATGGATGGTGAAGAGATTGAGATTGTTCACAGCTTTTGTTTGCTCGGCTCCTCAGTCAACACTCTTGGCAACAGCAGCCAGGAAATCAAAAGATGTATTACAATGGGAAAGTCTGCTGTTAGGGACCTCTCCAAAGTACTGAAGAGCAATGGTGTCATTCTGGAGACTAAGGTGCATCTGATACAGGCCATGGACTTTGCAATCACTTGTTATGCATCAGAGAGTTGGACAATCACTAGGGAGGATAGAAGAGAACGGATGCCTTTGAGCTGTGGTGCTGGAGAAGAGTATTGAGGGTACCATGAACTGCCAAGAAAACAAGCAGATTTATCCTGGAGAGGGCTACACTGGGCTGCTCCTTGGAGGCAAGGATTCTGAGGCTTCGTCTGACATACTTTGGACATGTTGTAAGGAGGGAGAGTCCTTGGAGGACATCATGCTTGGGAGGGTGGAGGGACAGTGCAGGACGGGAAGACACTTGAGGAGGTGGATTCAGTGACTGGGGTAATCGGGGTGGCTGTGTTGGAGATGGTGCGATTGGCACAGGACAGAGCAGGGTTTAGGGCTGTTGTACATAGGGTCGCTATGAGTCACAAGCGACTCGATGGCACGTAACAACAACAACAACAACAGTACAAACTGAATAGGTATGGAGAAAAGATGTATTCCTAATGATGTATTGATTTAATGATTGATGTATCCCTTCCTGATTTTAAACCATGCAGTGGTCACTTGTCCCATTTGGATGACAGCTTCTTGGTCTAGGTATGGATTTTGTATGAGCGCAATTAAGTGTACTGGGATTCTCATTCTGAATGTAGCCAC